ACCCAAAAATAAATTTATGTAGAGAGGACATTTCTAGAAAGATTGTACGAGTTCAGTAACTTCAGTTACAATTCCACATCACACTCTGCCACAAGTGCAGCTGCTGCGCGGCGCGGACATGGACACGGCACGGTCGGTAATTCACCTGCGAACCCACGGGAAACCTTGGGCCCACGTATTGCCGCAAATACAGCGCCAGTGTCCGAATGGGAAGTCGAGATTCATACCTTTCAATGCACAAAAAGCAACTGTCTCACTCTGAAACTAATAAATAATGAATATTAAATAACATATAATTACCAAGTATGATGTTTTGGTTGTCTCTGACTCCGTGTTGACGGAATTTAAGATGTGAATCCTTCAAAAATCAGGAATTCCAATACCTCACCGACATCAGTAATCACCATTCATGCCACAATATTTTTGCAAGCACTTCCTTGTTTTTTTAATTTGGCTCAAAATGCAAGGACGCCACCTACGTAGAAACAAGACAAGACACATTCACAATAATTGTTTTTATAAGTTGTACATTTGTTTTTGTATCTTTGCTCTGGATCTAATTTATTCTAACTATATAGTCAAACAGTCAGCACTGTCTTTTTTAAATGACTGAAAGACTATATCCGATGTTGGAAAATGAAATAAACTAAAATATCGACCAATGCATTGGGCGGGTTGGGAAGGAGGGGGAAGGGGGGAGGGGGCATGTATACCTTCAAACGCATTTAAGGTCCTGCTCGATCTCAATGTACATCAAGTGGAAATCAAGAGATTTGTGAAAGTAATTTGAACGAAATAGAAATTTATAGTTTTTTTTTTTTTTTACTCGACTTCCACCAACCAAGTGGAACCCTATGGGTTATTTTTTCTAGACAGATGCAGTCAGACAATTATAGTTCTTGTTATTCTTTCTTTGTTTTTCATCATCGAGTTCACATTTTATTTATGTCACATCGACGAAGTTAAAAGATTGATGCAATACTAGACAACGATACTGTGAATGAGCCCCCATACCATAATTACGCTTTTGATAGTTTCATAGGGGGACTGGGACGTACATGTAGAGGGGGGAGGGGCGGGTGCCACAGTATCAATCGATGGCGCAGTGCCAGTGGTAGAGCAGCGGTCGATGGGCTAGTGCCCTTAATTGGTAAGGTCTTAATCATTATTACTAAGTCCTTCGGAGAGGACTTAAAGCCGTCTGTCCCCTGGTTGCTTACCTACACACAAATGCTTTCTTTGCAGTTAGGTAAAACAAAAACAAAAAACAAGACATTCTAATAAGTATCACTGTAAACTATCACAGATCTGGAATGTTAATTATCTTTACTTGGCCTTTATATCTCTCTAAAAAAAAATCGAGTGATCACGGACGTCACTCCTTTGGCTCTGGCGAGTGAAAATGTACACTCCAAAAAATATTGGGCAAAAACTTGCCAAATTTTTCCCCAGTATGAGGGCGATTATGTGTCCAACCAACTGTTGGGTAAATTAAAGATTTTGCATGATTTACCCAGTGCTGGATAAAAAAAAATACCAAACTTTTACCCAATACCCAATTCTCACCATAATGTGTAGCATTTTAGACACTAGTTGGGCAAATAAGTTGTATAAAATATGAATTATATTATGTATAAAAGGACATTAGTGCCGCGGGGGGGGGGGGGACTCGACCGCGGACCTTGTGATTCACAGTCCCGTGATATATCCACTCGACCACGACACATCTAAGATAAGAATAGAACCATATTGTTGCATAATTGTTGCCCGACTTACGTTTGCCCAGTTACATCTGCCCAATTTATCTTGAACATTTAATTGGGTAAATACATAGTAAATGGTTGGGAGAAAATAAACCAAATGTGGGACAAAAATGGCCCAACTTTAATTTGCCCAATAATATTACCCAATTATTTTATCGGTTATACTACATGGTTGGTAGGAATTAAACCAATTGTTGGACGATATTTGCCCAACATCGATTTGCCAAGGGACACCTCTACCCAACCCATTTTTTACCTTTCATGAGGTAACTTCATATAGTAAATGGTTGGGAGAAAATAACCCAATTATTGGACAAAATTTGTCCAACTTTGATTTGCCCAGTAACATCTGCCCAACTTTTTGTACAATGTAGTGAAAATAGAGTGAACATTCGCTCTTTTCTTCTTAGAGAGCACTCGAAAACCAATTGATATTCACTCCTAAACAAGTGATCACGGACGTCACTCCGTAGAAAGTGAAAATAGAGTGAAAAATGCACTCTTTTTTAAGAGAGAGAGAGAGTAAGGTATAGGTGTAGTACTGCAGACCTACTCGTGGTGAACATTAATTACAGATTTACTTGGATCTTAATATAATAGAGACCTTGGTCACTAAATTGCTAACATTCATAATTTGTTTGATAATTGTTCATGCTTTTTCTTTCAAATTTTCGCAAACCCGTTTTTCTGATTTCTTTCACGTACATGTACATGTATTGAGTTGGTACAAAAGCTTCCTCCTTTGATGAAACGATCGTAATAATCCAAAACATTCAGTGAAAAATGAAATAAAATGCATATAAACCGTTAATATCCATTAAGAAACAAGCTGGAAACTATGAAAGTAAACAAGGAAGTAGGCATCGGGGTATCATGTCTCTCATAAACTATTTTGTTCTATTCTGGCACCATCTTACTGGCATACAGGAAATATCTTCTTCATCACTGATGATTAAGAAGCTACTCAATATCAATCTGAGATAATGACGCGTGGAGATGAGATTACCAAGGTAACATGATAGTTTAATGATAACCACGCTAACCACTAATTACCCAATAAGACAAGCTTTATTGTGCAATATAACTTTTACTCATGTATACAGATATACGGAGAAGTCAGCCACAATCATAACATCTATCTTATGCTACCCAGGAGGATGAAAAATATGTACACAAAATTAATGTACTTCATAATGGTGTAACAAGGGCCAGTGGCGGATCCAGGAGGGGGTTGGGGGGGTTGCAACCCCCCCTAGGGCGGCCCAAAAAAAAAAAAAAGGGAAAAAAAAGAAAAAAAAGAAAGAAAAAAAAAAGAAAAAGAACGCACGCTGGAGAGAAACCCTTTCAAGTGCAAATATTGTGAGAAGATATTCAACTCATCTGGTAACTTAAAGTCACTGAGTAGTCGGCTCTCATGGGGAATTCGACACCGTTCGGGTGTTTACCCAATAACAGGTGTTGTCAATCACCAGGGTTGGCCTTGAGCTTTATGACCATTGGACCTTATGTAATGCTTTGATTTGCCCGAAGACTCTCGAGCTCTCCGAGAGATTAGGGGGTAATTCTTGACTGGACTATGGGTTTGCTGTGTGCAAATTTGTACCCCCATTAATGGTATTTCCACCAAGTCTGGTGTCAGCGAATTATGGCCTTCTGCACATGGAAACTGGCGATCCAATCCCTTTAACCAAACACATGATAACTCTGGATATAACTATGTATTAAACTGTTACTTGATTTAAAAAGACGTTATCATGCACTGCTTTTTATGGTCTCCATTGTGTTAATAGATGCCAGGAAAACATCACTTACGGGGTTCAAATAAACACCCCCAAAAAAATCGGCTCGCCGCTTCGCGGCTCGTGGACGATGCTCCGCATCGTCATTATTTTGGTCAACCCCCCCCCTTAGCAAAAAGCTAGATCCGCCCCTGAAGGGCCCCCCGTTATCAAAAGGCTCAGTGGGGGGGGGGGGGGGGTTATTTAGTGGGTGAATTATTGAGAGGGTGATAGAGGCACTTCAATTACATGTATCTACTTCCATTCTCTCTCTCTCTCTCTCTCTCTCTCTCTTTCTCGCTCCCCTCTCTCTCTCTCTCTCTCTTTGCCCCCACTCTCTCTCTCTCTCTCTCTCTCTCTCCCTCTCTCACAATTCGCTTTATCAACCTTAAATAAATCCCGAAGAAAAGAATAGACCACAACGATTATTTAAGATATACTAATTTATTTCAATCAGCAATAAATTCCTCGACAACCCCTTTTCGCAACTAAAATCTAGCTGTGCGCTAACATAAAATGTCATAGCCGGACGTGAGTAACAAAGCATAATATAATGTATTTTGCTATCAAAATAAAAAGAAATACATTATCAAGATGGTACAATTTACCTTCAATAGTAACGGGTTAAATTTCACGACCGATATTATATTTCTACGGCCGATAATAATTATTCCTCATGCAGCGTATTTGCCTTTGCGTCGTAATTTATTATGAGCGCTGTCGGTTCGACCCGACTGATGCTAATATTTCCATATATACAGATTAAATGTCTTTTTCTTTTCTTTTGCCTCTTGCACATTACTTTGAGTCTTTGAACAATCTAAAGCACGATACACACCTATACCGAATCTGAAGCTCCAACAATAACGTGTTTAGCATTATTATGGGGCCTTTTATGGGAAGAATAGGAGGAGAGACCCCAGGATTTCAGTGATTCAGTTCGATTTCCGCCTCCTCGCGCATAGGTGACGTGAAATACTTAATAACAGCGTGATATTTCTGAAACGAGTCGTGTCTGTTGGTCATGGGTGTCGATCCGTAACTGATACCTATTTATCAGGGGGGGATGATCTATTCATTCATCCCCCCCCCCCTGATGAATAGGTATTACGTAAGGATCGACACCCATATGCTGTTGGTTGTTGCCTAAATTTCTTCCACAAGTTGAAAACTGCGAACACATCACTGTTCAGCGTGATGTGGACGTGAGGTTGTCACGAAACATCGTGATGACCACGTAATGTACTTTATAATCACGAATAACTACACGTTGTAAACACGGCGACTGTTCATAGTAGGGACTTTTAGAGTTGCCGTGGCAGCATGCCTTAAAGGACGTCACGGTGCCTTAAAAGGACATCACACGTAGTAGTCCACTATAAGTCGACGTGCGAATCTAAAAGTCCCTAATTAGGGATTCTGCACGACGAGAACGTAGACTGCCATTTTAAGGCAATGTGTTGTCCTTTTAAGGCACTGGCAGTGACGTCCTTGTCATGCAGAATCTAAAAGTCCCTATTATGTTACCCCCTATCACGAAGATAGGACGTTCTCTTTTTGAGAAACTTTGCACGAAGCATGACTAGCAACAAGTTTGACTGGTTGTGAAGGTGATGAGCATTGCACGAGCTAAATTATTGCCGGAGCAGGAGCTTCAAAGATCTTCACTATTCGTGTAAAAGAACACCAAATGTGGCTGTAGCGTCTTTCAAGGACGTCAAACAGTTAGCAAATGGAATGATGCCATATTGACATTCATTCTTAAATTTCTTCCGGGAAAACAAGTCCATCCCCATCGGAACTTTCAAAGTTTATGTTGACTTCAGGTGGGATGTTGGCACATTCTATCCTAATCTTATCATCACCTTGTGGTACGATTGACGTCTCTTTATTGTCTTCTTCTCTAATATCCTTCTGTCCAGTCGTTTCTTTGAGAGGCATCTTCACATTGGTGTGTCCGTTATTACCTTGTCCTAATCTACCATCTGTTCTTTTCTGTTGTGCTAGCTTCATGGCCATGGCTTGCTTAGCATTGGTCCTGTTCCTCGACCCTGCCCTGTAAGACGCTTTAAGTTTCGCGTTCCAGACACCCGCCTGTCGCATCCATACGCGATGGAAGAGCCTAGTTTTGCTCTCGGCGACCAGGGTGCAGAAGAGAGAGGAGTTAGCGCTCGGGCGGATCTCCTTATGCTTAAAAACCCCATGTGAACGTATGTACTCTCCCCAGCACATTCTTGAAATACGCTGTCTTTTCTTTTACGAAATGAGGCGAGGTCAAGCTCGAAGTTGGGTCCGTAATCTTTGATCTTCTGCCACAGTGTGGCGTTGAATCGTTCGTAAAGGATCGTATCCGCCTGGCTCCATTCACGAATCTTCTGGCGAGTGGTCGAGTCTATATCAACACGATTTGGACGCTGGTTCTTCGATATGTAAATGATGTCATCGAAAGTCCAGCAAAGCATTTTCTTGAGAACGACCAGAGACTCGTCAAAGTACTCGCTGATCAGAACTAGGTCCAGTTCCTTTACGAGTGCATCAACTGTCTGGTTGACCATTGTCTCGTCCTTGTGATACTTTGAGTCCAACCCAAGATCAAAGATTTGATTGTTTCGTGCGTAGTACCATCTCAGTCCCCGGGTAGTGTCCCACTGGAGAGTCTTCAGTCGTCGCCGGTAGTATCCCGGTCTACGCATGAACTCTTCGATCTCATGACCCTTGACACGACAGCGCGTGGCAGGAGAGAAACTGTCAGTGAACCGGAAGTGATTGAACGCAGATTCGAAGTGCGCACTGGGTTCGCGGATGATGCTGATATACTTGGTTCCCGGCAACATGAAGGAGTCCATAGCGGATCGATTGTACCGCAAATGTACAGCTATCATGTTGTAATTAAAATGAGAGATGTCGTTGCTTCCTACGCCTAATGGCGGAAGAAAGAAGTATCGAGGACTGTGCTTGGTAACTGGAATGTATACCAAGTGTCCGTTAGTTGGACTGACCTTGTTCAAGACAAACGAGAGTCTATTGAGCAAACCGAATCTGTTGATGATGGTTTGAAGCGTTGTTGATGCGGTCTTATGCGTTTTGATGTAGGCTACGTTGCCATGGGGGTTGCATGTCCCGTCCACGTGACGTGACGTCATTGAAGATAGTTTTTTAATCTCTTCCTTCCGCCGTCCGATCTTATTCTGCAACTGATTACGAACGCGACGGATCTCTTCTTGCTTCTGACGTACTTTCATCTCGGCGCTTTCGCGTACGCGATTTGACGCGTTTTCGCGCAACAGTTTCGAGGCGTTGCCCTTATTTCCATTTGATGCCTTTGGTATAAACTCCATTGTTATATTGTGCTTGCTCTTTCCTAGCAAACTCTTGTGCACCCAAGATATATTTTGAGCGAGATACTTGTTGGGACCTAGTCCTTGAGCCTGTCTTCGAGGTGCATATCTCTCTCCATGCCTTCTGGAAGCCTTGTCTTGAGGTACCACAGGATCGATGCGTAATCTGCCAATAGGGGTGGGGACGGGGATGAGAAAAATGAAACAAGAATAATTATTATAGAAAAGTATATACTACGTCATTATTCGTAAAGTAGACGTGACCTTAGGTTGATGAATAATGACTGCATGGCATGCATGCTTTGTTGAAAACTCTATGTACAGATTTGTTAAAGGTAGGCTAAAGACCAGTTTTGGAAACGCCCCATCTAAAAAAATTAAGTGGAAGCTCTTATTACCAGTCATGTGAAAGAATATGTTTTGACTACAACGTGATGATACAAATTTTGCCGAGGAAACCACCTAATAATTGACATATATGGTAAATTATCATATCGATCCGGCCTGGATAGATATCGCGAATGCACTTCAACATTGAACATTTGGTCATATATTTCTGGGTTTTTTGCGAATTTAGGTTGAAGTATTGCCATCTAAACCTCTGAAGGCAATATTGAAACAATATTGAATGGATATTTTGCACCCGAAACCCTTGAACCGCAATATTTGAGCACTACCGGTCTTTACCTTTAAGTACCCGAAGTTTGAAACATCAAATGGTGTCTAAATCCATCATCCAAATACATCTGGTATCTTAAGTTTAGATGCAGATTTCAGTATTATGCGACAATGATACCTGGGGGATGTTTCATCAAACAAAATTGATTTCGAAAAAAATACAATTTAAAGTGACTTGGTAGCATTGTTGAAGGTTGATGAAAAAAATGCTTAATTTTTGTACAAAATGTTACCTACTATATTCCTTCTACTGTACTAACCCTCTGACATGCAAAAAATCCTGAAAAAATTCTCAAACCACGAAGATATCTATGGTTTTCTTTGAACGAGTCGATGTATGACACCCTCTAACAGTGATTAACAGTAAATTCTCCCAACCATTTTTGAATTTTCCCAACCGTTTTTCCATGAAAAAAAAGACATAAAATAGGCTATAAAAAAAATCTGTCAACACTTAAAAGTCTGGAATGGAATGTAGAGCCATTTTATTGCTTTGTAAGATTTCCATTCACCTTAAATGTAGGTAAATTGTAATAATATAGTTGGGAGAATTAAGGAATCGATCAGATCAGTTTTTCCCAATTTGTACCATGAATAATGGTCCGTTTTCACTCAAATTTTCAGATTATCTTTAATTGTACATCTAGCATTGAAATCACCACCTTAGCACCACTATCTCTCATCTGAACAATGTTTACCAAGTCCATTTAAGTTTAAATTTGTCTACTGTAAAATAATTCCACTTTATGCAGATTCCAGTAATATGCTACAAGTGATACCTGGGGGATGTTTCATCAAATAAAATCAATAATACATATATACAACTCTTTCGGTAAAAAAAAAAACATGTGCTTTCTGGTCGTATCAATATCTGACTGACTTTCCAATCTTTAAAAAATAATTCTTTGGAAAAAGTTTGGAAGTAACGTTTCTTTTATCTATTCCTGTGATATTCCGATCGACAATCAATTTGTAAATGGTCCAAAGAGCTATAGTTAGGAATAAAGTACAATGATTTTCACAATTTATTTTGAGCAAATGTTGGATACTGAACGTCAATATCTTTACTTATTATATCTCATAATATTTCTTTCAGGTGTTTAATGAAGGGCTCATTTAGTTTGCATTCGATAAATGCGGGATCTATATCCTCTTTTATATAACATTTGGGCATACATCGTCTGACGATATCTAATGACTCATTAGATATTCCCCATTTCAAAAGATTACTTTTTACTGGCAATAGATTATAAAGTAAAATTTAGTTAAACTCTCGCGATCAGTTTTCTCTAATGTGTGCAAGAAGCAAGATTACACTTGAATACCGTAGACCAATCAATATCTACATTACGTTTTTGTTTTCCTCATAAAGGCACCATGTTTTAGTTAGTACAGTTCTCGAAGGAATGAGTTTATAGAAACGATTGCTACTTATACCAGTAACATCCTTTTCCTTATTTGCAACAAACAGATAAGGAACTTTGTATTCATTTTCTTGTCTATAGTATAATCATGCATACATTTTTCTTTTAGGCCATGTAAAAAAATAAACATGTTTAGCGTCCCCGCCCGCTTCCTTTTGGGGGGCCGCCTCCTAATTTTTTTTTGTATTTTTTTTTGTATTTTTTTTTTAAACATGACAAACATTGCTAAAATGGATCTATTTCTGATTTAAAAAAAAAATTGTCAGGCGCCATCTTGAAAAATTGGCCGAATGTCAGGGAAAATGAACCGAGCGGCCATTTTGAGCGGCCATTTTGAAAAAAAAAAAAAAAGGGCCTCCTCCTTCCTATTTTTCGAAAAAAACAGGACGCTAAACATGTTTTTTTTTTATTTATTTGGCCTTAAACTCTTGACCCATACAAGTGGTATCGCTCGTTTCAGTCTTGCTTAGTCAAACAGCGCATTGCATTTTATTCGTTTGGAGTGCACCTGCGATTATGATGAATTCTATTGACCGAAAGCCATCTCTCATAAAAAAGTCATCTTATACATAAATCTTCTTACTCGACAAAAGTCTTGGGTTTTGTGACGAGTGCCCTCTTCGGTGAGAGTATTGATACAGCAGCCAGACCCATGAGAAACAACGTGACAGAGAAGACTCCAAATTTAAAGAGGGCCTGCATGTGGGATAGTAAAACAAATAGAGATAGAAGTGACGAGAAAGAGGGAGAGACACATAGAGTGAGGGAGAGGGAGAAAGAGACAAAGAGAGAGAGAGAGAGAGAGAGAGAGAGAGAGGGAGGGGATGATAATTATTTGAATGTTTGAATGTGAAAGTGAATCCATTCATTCGCCTAGTCATACCTGTCCTAAACAGAAATATGTCATTAACTTGATCATTCATGACAAAACTTGAAAGTCGAACAAATTTTTCTTGAGATTGATTCCTTTTAGCATGACTTTTTGTATATAAAGTAGTCTTTGATTTGCATTCTTTTTCAAAACTCGAGCAGCTCCAAAGTGGCTTGAAAGGCCATGGAAGGAAAGTTTTCGGTTTGCGAACAGGAATACAAGAAATAAAATGAGAGAATAAGACGTATATTTGCTAAAGTTATCTTAGAGAAAGTATTAACAAAATCAGTACCATATGGATCCACAAGGAAGGAAATTACGCATAAGGATACGGAAGTCGGGCCTAGTGAGTGCGGATAGAAAGACCGTGAAACATAAGAATGTCATCTTCCTGTACACAAACGGTTGCATAAAGTGTGGTATTCTCTGAGTATAATGATAAAATAACATATGTAGTTTCAATATCATTTCGAAGTGCATAATTTCATGAATAATGACGACTTACTTTTTTCCCAATGCGCATCATGGTATATGACATTTAACCTCTGGAAGCCGAATGGTGTATTGCTGTGACGAGATGACTGCTGGAATATGAAAACAAAGAATTAACTTTGAAATAAAACTTTACCACGTTTATGCTAAGTTTTAAACGGTTTCCAAATTTACGAATCATAAACAATCCTGGATCTGTCTGACTAATATGTGCTAATGAAATCGTTTATAGTAAGCAATATGACCTGGATTTTGTTTCCAGTGTGAAAAAACATTGATTTTTAAAACTACCAGCAATCATAAACATAAGAAAAGTGATCATACTCTCATCTTGTTGGTATGATACAAACCATCATCTCATCAATGGCCCGAACGTGTAACAGTAGCTGAAAAGTGGTATACTTTTATCTGGATAGTTTTGTCTGCTGAAAGCTTTCTACAAAATTATATACGACAGGAAATGCTGAAAACCATGGTGATAATAATTTACTTTGCTTCCACAGATAACGTGGTATAGGGAAATACTAGACAATCGAAGTTGATTAACATTCTACATGTTTATGTATTATGACCGGGGGTCGATCAGAACGTCCGTGTATGGTGTAACTCCTTGATTATTATCTTACGCGGGATCTTACGTTTACAGAAATCACATATCTATACATGTGGTTCAGTTCAGTTCAGTTTATTAAAAACATCATCAGACATAGCAATCATGACGAACAAACGCAGACCTGAACAAACATGATCCAACTTGGGACCCCCCAAAAAGCTATGCTTTTGGAAGGATTATGGACCTCTCACTCCCGGCGGATAAGTTGTCATTAATAAATCAATGAATATCTCGCTAAAAAGAAGAAATGCACTCGCATAATCACCCCAGAAAGTGTATGTACTTCATGTCCTGCTAATTAATTCAGTCACATCGTATATATGTCCCAAAGTACGTATAGCAAAAGAAGTGAACAAATGTTCGTGAATTGATGCGTAAAATATACCAAACTTAAAGTTCAGTCTACCAATAATTGTGATATACTCTCTGAATTACAGTATATTCCGAGCAGGCGCGTACGCAGGGGGGGGGGGGGGGGGGGGGGGGGGGGGGTTGGGGGGTTAAACCCCCCCCCTTTGGAAATTTTTTGTGTGTAAACCCCCCTAAAAAAAACCTAAAACTTCCCCCTTTTGGATTTTTTTTTTTTTTTTTTTTTTTTTTTTTTAATTATTAAAAAAAAAAAGGTGACCTTACCCCCCCCAACGGAGCAAAATGTCAAATTTCCAAATTTCGAGACCAAAAAAAAAAAAAAAAGTGTCCTCTTCCCCCCCCCCCCCCCCCCCCCCCCCCCCCGCTTATTCAGCGGCTGGCTGAGTCGTTGCGAAATTTTCGGACCGATTTATAAATGTTAAAACCCCCCCCCCCCTTGAAAAAATCCTGCGTACGCGCCTGATTCCGAGGCATGGATCCTTATAAACCTGTAAACTCAACATTATCTAGACACGCTATGAATTGAAAATATCACAAACTTTAGTCCGTGCACCAATAATTGCGATATACTCCCTGAATTAATATCATATATTCCGAGGCATGCAGCCATCCTTATAAACTCAACATTATCTAGACACGCTATATGAATTGAAACAAATTAAATCACAGAACAAAATCATACTTGAAAAGACTTACGTTCACTCTGCAAGTATGATGTACATATAAACTTTAGTCCGTGCACCAATAATTGTGATATACTCTCTGATTTACTATCATATATTCCGAGGTATGCAGCCATCCTTATAAACTCAACATTATCTAGACACGCTATATGAATTGAAACGAATTAAATCACAGAACAAAATCATACTTGAAAAGACTTACGTTCACTCCGCAAGTATAATGTACATGTATTATTATGGTTCTCCTCGGCTACGGTATACTCTAGCTCTGTACTGCGGACATGTGGCTGGGGTCACTTCACGTGAACCTGACCGGAATACAAGCACGAATGTGACTGTCTGGATGCTGGAGTGGATACCAATGGATGCTTGTGAGTTGTCTGGGTGTCTGGAAGCTGGTATTCCGCGCATTCAGCATTTCCATCAGGATTACCTTAGTCTACAAAATACAGACACTGTTCTTGGCTCCGGCTTTTCGAGGAGTTCTCCTTCTTCTAATTCATCCTTCAATTGACTGAAGATTCTTGCAAACTATGTGCGCGCGTGTGTGTTAACGGGCCGCAATTTAGTTGTGACTATGTGCAGGCCCATGCCAATGTTCATTACTCTTCACTGTTTATCATTCTTAAAAAATAGAGTCAATCTATCATGATTTTGATTATTCCAAAGCTCATATTCATGATACACCGTCCTGAATCCTGTTTCAGAAAACTTCCAGACTCGGCATGGACTCCCTATCACCGTTTAGCTTTCATCCATATCGAGGCATTCAACTACAGCACGAATTAAAGATAAGCTTGGGTTCTGGTAATGATAGAAAATAATTCTCACATAATCCAACAAAATTTCCGCTGAATGTTCAAGATTACAAAAACATGACATGTGCCAAACTATTTTGGTAGAAAATGAAAAGGGGCTGAGTCATGAGCATACACTGTAAAAAAAAAATTGGACAGATATGTTACTGGGTAAATCGAATTTGGGCAAATTTTGTCCGATTATTGGGTTATTTTCTCCCAACCATTTACGATATGAAGTTACCCAAAGAAAGGTAAAAATAGGTTGGGTAGGTCGTAGGTGTTAATTGGCAAATCGATGCTCGGCGAACGTTTGTGGGTTATTTTCTCCCAACCATTTACGATATGAAGTTACCCAATGAAAGGTAAAAATAGGTTGGGTAGGTCGTAGGTGTTAATTGGCAAATCGATGTTCGGCGAACGTTTGCGGGTTATTTTCTCCCAACCATTTACTACATAATTGTATAGTTGCCCAATTTAATGTTCAAGATTTAGTAGGGCAGATGTTTCTGGGCAAGTGTAAGTCGGGCAATTATGCAACAACAGGGTTCTGTTTATATATTACAGGTGTCGTGGTCGAGTGGATATATCACAGGACTGTCAGGATCACAATCCGAGGTTCGGGTCCCGTCACGTCACTAATGTCCTTATATATATATATAATAATACGAATTATATAATATTTTATCCAACTTATTTGCCCGATTAGTGTCTAATATTTTTTTTTTCTTCATATTTTTCCCTCCACAGGGATTTTATTGATTTTCATTTGAAACCCATACAAAAATATATATTCAAGGTAATTTACATAATAACATAAATAAAATAAAATTGGCTTTTCAAGATACAAGTATTGTTGAGCTGTTGAGTTAACAGAAAACTAACAAATCATTAATTCATTTCAAACACTCATGGAAAGAAAAACAAATACAGAAAAAATATAATTTTAAGTAAACAAATTCCTGAATTGAAACCATTTTCTTGTGAATTTATTATTTCTACAATTCGAATTTGCAATATACTTTTCGTTTTTGAAGTAATTTATAATCGAAACTTTAATACTATCAAAGTCGGGCAATTGTTTCTTTATTTTGCAAGTATACACCATCTGTCGCACCACAATCAGTATACAATTCAATGCATAATTATTTGAACCTTTTAAACCAAATAATTTATCTTGTAATGAAAATGTTAATTTATTTCCGGTTCCAGTATTAATCCAGTGTTCTAACCTACCCCAAATATTTTTAACATGCGTACAATCACATAGCAAATGTATAACTGTTTCAATCTGTTCATTACAAAATGTACATTCTTTTCTTGGGACTAAATTCATTTTAAACAGTAGATCGTTCGTATATAGTATGCGTTGCAAGACTTTAAACTGAAACCATCGTAAGCCCACATCAATGGTACAATCAAATCCAATAGAACAATATGTTTCCCAACTCTTATCATTCAGGTCAAAAATGCATTTCCATTTAAGAAAACTTTTACATAGTCCTTTTCTTCTCTTTAATAATATTGCATAGATATGTGAACATCCTTTAATACGTTTCATAACAAATGCCATTGTATCTGGGAAAAGAGGTTGTGGGACCTTGTTAAAAATAGCACAATAATTGTTAAACCCTTGTCTAATTGCATCGCATAATCCACGATAAAAAAGAAAATTTATTTGAATATTATACTTTTCTTGAAAGTGTTCCAGAGAGAAAAAAAAATCACCATTTGTGTCTAAAATATCGTTAACAAAACGAACTCCCTTTTGACACAATTTTTTTATTATATATTGAGCTATTGCCTATTTTAATGTAATCATTATTCCATAAGGGTTGGCAAGAAATTTTATCATGATGCATGGACAAGAGCGTACTACACTGTAAAAAAATAAAAGTCGAAATAACTCAATAAAATTGAGGAAAAGAATTGCCTTATTTTTATTAAGTAAATATTACCTACGGCATCTTAAGTAGAATTTACTTATTTTGCTGAATAAATTTTTACTCAGTTAAATTGAGTTACATTAACGTAAATAATTTAAGTATTGTAATCATTTTAGATAATTAAAAAAAGCTATGATAGGATTACATATTGCACGATTTGGTACCCAACTAATATAACAAGTACCATCCACTAATCATTCACCGCCTATATTTAAGATTTAACCGTGTATTTAAATCTACCACCATCACAAACTATTACATACGCTTCAATTCGACACATGTTGATAGGCTCCAAATTTTATATATACCTGATCGTAGCATCTTAAAAGGAAAATTGGTTGACAATTTCCTGAATTATCAAGTTTTGATTTGTTTTGAACTGGGTAACAATTAAAAATTGTCTTGTCTTTGCTTAGCCATGTTAAATGAATTAGTAAATGTTTTAAAGTCCTTAAATTTTCATTCAACCACAAAAAAGAATTGTTTTATTTAAAAAAGAGTTTAATTTGGTCTTAATGAATATTCATAAATTATGTAAATATTTCTATTACGCACTGCATCGGTCCTTACTTATGTATTTGATTTTACTTAAATATTCCACGTATGTTCTACTAAATTGAAAGTTTGAGTTAGCAAGACTTAAATTTAGTGCGTAAGTGGCAAAACTAACGTTTTCAAGTAAATTCTACATGGAAAAAATACGTAAAAATTACCAATGAACAAATTCTTTTTTACAGTGTATAAGCCATGAACATTTCTTTCCAAAAAAGGTTCTTTGTTTTACCTGCCAGTTCCCGAAAATAATTGTTTCCCATATATAATTTTAAATCTAGTGTCTAATATGCTACACATTATGGTGGTGAGAATTGGGTGAATTTCTGATTGGGTGAATCTTTGTTGTTTAAAAGTTGGGTATTTTGTTATCCAACACTGGGTAAATCATGCAAAATCATTAATTCACCCAATCAACGCAACAGTTGGTGGGACACATTATTGTCCTCATGTTGGGTAAAAATTGGGCAATTTTTTGTCCAATATTTTTTTAGAGTGTAGAAAGATAAGGAAATCAAGGTAAGTAGGCCCGACGCCGGCCATGCTTGTCACAGGCTATGTGCAAATAGGGAGGTGACACCTCCTTGGTGCAAATGAGATGATTTCCAGCAAGTTTTTGTGATGTCGTTTTTATATTACTGGTGTTCAAACAATCAATCTACTGCAGGATAAACAATCCAAAATTAATTATAGCCATGTTCTCTCGACATACGATGCCCGTTATACCAGAGCTCAAGATTAACTGCATAAACTTTTGCCCTGCTTACTCTCTTAATGCCCCACTGTCATACCTGTAGCTACTTGCTCCCTCTATATAGAAAACTTCCCCAATCGGTGCCTGTTGGTCCCCATGATCCTCTTTTTCTTATGTTAGTTGAGAGCTGAGTTGATGAGACAGCCACCTGTCAGTGACCTCGCTGTGTGGTATAATCCCTTCTGGCCCAGTAGTATTGACGGTCTTTAAGCTGGATGAACAATCTCTTGGCTTGATGATAGCAGACATGTGTGGCAAAGAAATGTCCTAGTGATGAAAGCTTGCCAACTTTGTTAAAGCTTATCTGCCGTAGTTTACAGGAGGGATTAGACTGCCCTGCAAGGTCACTGGACAGGTGGTTATCTCATCAACTCAGCTCTCAGTTAACATAAGAAAAAGAGGATCATGGGGAACAATGGTCACCGATTGGGCATTGTTTGTTATATAGAGGGCGCAAGTAGCTACAAGTAGTGTAGTGGGCCTTTAAAGATTGGTAGAAGCCTAAGTGGGCCTACTTGTTCCAACCGTTTTCCACATTTTGTATACAACGTAATAAATGTCATTCAGAATAACTATTAGACACCAAATACATAGAATTTCTTGTAATATTTATATATGTTTTTGTATGTGTCTATTGTTTAATTGTATTTTAATATTGTCATTTTAAGCAGGGGATGATCCCCGACAAGCCTCTGTGGCTTTTGATCACCCCCTCTACAGGTTCATCTTTTGTTTTAATGCTCATATTTGATTGTAATTTATATTGTCTTTTATGAATCTGTGGAAATAAATGAAATTGAAATTGAATTGAAATTGAATTACAATGTTACCTGAAAAGTATGACTCTTCTTTTCGTCTTTTAAGGAACATATATATTTGGGATGAAATAATGAGATTATATACAGATGCTTACAGCAAGGGTCTGGGACTAGGCGGGAAGGGAACTGGATATATACTCGGGGATTCTTTCTGTGTATTTCAGTGGCGGATCCAGAGCACAGGGGACACGTCCCCCCCCCCCCCCGACCAAAAAAAAGTGTTGAAATCAGCCCTAAATTCGCTAAAAATGTACTGAAAAACAGGGACGTTCCCCCCCCCCCCCCCCGGTCAAAAATTAAAAAATTAGTGCGCACTAATTGCATTTCTGTGTGGATGGGTGATTGTTTTGCTCTTGCTTTTCTTATCGAACAGTTATTCATTTTTTAATTTTCATCAAAATGTAGATAGAAAATGAACAATCTTAGTCTTTAATTACGCGTTTTCTTAAAATGACATTTGAATTTGATTAAATTACCTTTCTTGTAAGAGAAAGTCTCTTTCGAAGCAAAATCGTAGAACATTGTTTACAAATCTTGATTCTAGTTTCTTTTTGCAACATTCATGATAGTAAAAACTGACTCTTATTTACCCCCTTAAGTTTAAAGAATAATATTACATATATGAGGAGGGGGGGGGGGGGGTAACAGAAATAAATTAAGAAAGAAAGCAAAGAACAGAAAGAAATGTGAAGGGACTATCTTCGGTCTGGATTTGAAATTTAAAACGTATTTGAACACACTTTTTCAATTCTCTTGATATAATTGTCTATAATGCATTTAACGCTAGGGGGCGACAAAGTACTTTTCACGGGATTCCCAAGTAACTTTTTTTTTCATTCAGAGTGAGAGAGAGGGGGAGAGAAAGAGAGATAGAGAGATAGAGGGAAACGGCACTCCTTTTTTATTATTATTATTTTCTATGAGGCGCATTCTTCTTGCAATCACCATGCTTTCATTATGTGTGTTCAACATTCCATATCAAGAGTTTTTGTGACGAAGCGCATAACAGTTAAACTATTCAAGCTTGACGGTCTGTTTGCATTACCGTATTTTACGTGGCTCTCTCTACTTCCAACCTTATGCGGGTAGCAAAAGAAACGTTCATGGGAACAGCTGTGAATCCCATACTAAATTTTTGCTTCAATGTGTGCATTTGAAGCTTATGCATTGTCCATACCCGCTGATCTATCATACACTGATTTTGAAGCTCGAAACACACAACTTTAAACCAAAGTGTGAAAAAAAAAAAACAGCGGTACAGAACAGGACTGAAGGTATATTTCATGCGGGTTCTTTTCAGAAAAGCCCGTTTCAGCGTGTTAAATCACGACTTTAGGTTGTCGAGCAAGGAATCTGTTTAATTATAGGCCTAATATTTCTTTGGCCGAGCTAGGATCCGTTCAAAGGACCTACTCTTCTCTGAAAACGCCGGGATTCTTTGGACTTACAGGGGTTCCGAAATAGTAGAAATTCAACGTGGATTATATATCATTATAGACTCGATGAGGATTTGTACTTGTTACAGGTCCCTGATTTCGCCGGCAAGAATTCACAAATAAAAGTGCCTCTGCAACGCACTCTCAAGACGGACGACAGCTCCTTGCGCTATTGGCAGTGGCGACAACCATGATTCCAGGCTGAACGACAGCGTAATCACCTCATGAAAGAAGGATAAGATAATCAAAACTCGTGTTACAACCACAGCAAATGGAAAATATGGCGGCGACATCTATACCAACCACTTTGGATTATGTAAACTTGACAGAGCCGTTGATCGCCAAAAGAACGTTAAATCACAGCGATCTGTTTGATCCTACAGATGGAGCTCATCTTGGACTATCACAACCGGTTGTTTCGATGGTAAGTGAAGCTCGCAGTCCTTATTTATACATGTTTCTTGATAATAATCAAGATAATAAATAATTTCGATCTTGAAATTCGATATATTTGTTTATTTGTTATTTACCCGGTTTATTGTCCATTTCTTTTGATTATAATGAACGATATTATCCACACTTTTGAGCTATAATCATCTTCTTCATCTTCTTCTTCCTCGGTAAATGTTACTTCATACAACGAAGATTACGCACTGCATGTCCAAAATGTTTGTAGGCTTCAATCGAGGTGCAATATATATATACAGTGAATGCAGTGATGGAAGACATAATTCTGTTCCAGTATTAAATAATTAACAATTTTAAGTCATTATTGCATTTTAAAGTAAATTGCTTAAACTTGCCTCATGTATATATTTTGTGAGAAGATGGGCTTTTCCTTTTTTCTGATTATTTTAAGCCATTCATCATGTTCATCGAAATAAATTTTACGTCAGGCCTATCCGAAGAGGCTGAAGACTCAAGTGAGTTTCACCTAAGAAGCTGTGAAATTGGATGAAGTTAAGTTATTTATATAAATACCAAGAACATGGGGAAAACTTTCTGTTGCGAAAGCCACTCAAATTGAAGAGAAAATATGGGTACAGCTTAGAATGATATATCTAATAATAATATATATAAAACATGATAAAAATAGGTTTAGGGTTAGGGCCAGGGTGAGAGTTAGTGTTAGGGTTAGATGGCATAATAAATAGGTTGCTGTCGCAAAAGGAAATCTTTCCAGAACATGACATATTTGCCAGCTTTAAGTCGGATGTTTATGCCTGTTTTTATCATTTTGCATTATCATTTTGACAGAGTCTGTTGATCGGAGCCAGTCTTGCCGTTGGAGGAAACCTTCTCATAAGTGTCTCGATGAATATTCAGGTAACGCAACTATTGTGGGAGGGAGAGGGAGCGAGGGATGAAGGGGAAGGAGTGAGAGAGAGATATATATATATATATATATAGAGAGAGAGAGAGAGAGAGAGAGTGAGAGAGAGAGAGAGAGAGAGAGGGGGGGGGAGAGATAGAGAGAATTTAAGGGAGATGGAAAAAGGTAATAGTGTAACAGTGGCGGATCCAGGGGGAGCCGAAACGGCCGCCCCCCCCCCCTATTGGCGGCGCAAAAAAAAAGGAAAGAGGAAGAAAAGAAAAAAGAAAAAAAGAAAGAAGAGAAGAAAAAAGGAGAAGAGAAGAAAAAAGGAGAAGAGAAGAAAAAAATGGAGAAGAGAAAAGAAAAGAAAGAAGAGAAAAGAAACAGAGAGAGAGAGAGAGAGAGAAAAGTAGAAAATAACACGAAGAACGCCCCCCCCCCTTCCCTCCCACTCCGGGGTCGGAGGGACCGAATTTGAGTTCCCAAAATCTTCCAACAAAGTCCGGCCCGTAATACACAAAAATAGGGGAAGAGAAAAGTCGGGTGAGATAGGGGAAAGAAAAGGAAATGGCGCTAAGTGACAGTAACGACGAATAAGGGAAAACTGTAATCGGGAGATTTGGGGTCATTCCAGAAGGCTTGACAAACATTCGTGAATAGAGGGGGTCGGGCCGGCCGCATAAAATCTCGAGCCGCGAATTCAAAGTTAAACGTTAAAAACAGCCCCTGCGCTACAAAGGTCATCACTTTTTAGTGAGCAATTTGAAAAGGGCACCATATTTTGGATGTCTTTTAAATAGAAGCTATATACTCATATAATTTGAAAATAACGGTAGGGCCGCTTTACAACTCTTATTTTGCCCTTCATTTAAATTCAGCTCATACTGACTCGCTTGTTCTTGTATTTGAACTCATGTTCGTAGTAATCATGGACAGGGGCGGCAATCCTGGCCCGAAAGGGGGACACGTCCCCCAGGAAATTTAGAAATAAAGCTCGAAAAAAAGTATAGCGGAAAGAACGTACATATTGGGCTTATAGGGATTTTCTAGAATGCATAATTTCAGCATTCAACATTGCAAAATCTCGCTTGGCCGCTACTCCCCGGCCCTCGCCCGATAACACAAAAATATGATCTGACGCTCCCGGGCGTGATTTATCGATGGTTGGTGTAATAATCTTTCTTTTTTTCCCGTTCATTTCTACTGACCTAATTGTGTGCTATTACAATCATGATTGTTTCATTTTCCCTTTAAAGCAGGCGCGTAGCCAAGGGTGGTAGGGGCAGTAAGAGGACATAGGACGAAAAAGGAGCAGACAAGGAAACATTTTTGAAAATTCTGACAAGTCGAGAACGGTACAACGAATCGTCTTCTTTCTCTAATAATTAAATGAAATGTCAAAGCTTCCGCGCTTCGCTTGGGAGGGGGGCCGAAACTGAATTCAGACAAGGATTAAGAGTTGAGAATGGTACAACGAATCTTCTTCTTTTTCTAATAATTTAATGAAACGTCAAAGCTTCCGCGCTTCGCGCGAGAGGGGGGGGGGGAAGAACGCAATTCAGACAAGGACAAAGAGTAAAAAACGGTACAACGAATCGTCTTCTTTCTCTAATAATTTATGAAACGTCAAAGCTTCCGCGCTTCGCGCGGGCGATAGGAAACTGACTTCAGACAAGGATTAAGAGTCGAGAATGGAACAACGAACCCTCTTCTTTCTCTAATAATTTAATAAAACATCAAAGCTTTTACGCGCTTCGCGCGGGAGGGGGGAAACTGCATTTTAACAAGAATTAAGAGTTGGTAACGGTACAACGGAACGTCTTCTTTCTCTAATAATTTCATTAAACTATGAAAGGTCAAAGTTTCCGCGCTTTGCGCGGGAGGGGGGGAGGGGGAACTGAATTCAGACAAGGAATAAGAGTCGAGAATGGTACCAAAACAAATCGTCTTCTTTCTCTAATAATTAATGAAAGGTCAAAGCTTCCGCGCTTCGCGCGGGAGGGGGGGGGGGGGGGGACTGAATTCATCAAACAAGGAGTAAGAGTCGAGAATGGTACAACGAATCCTCTTCTTTCTCTAATAATTTCATGAAACATCAAAGCTTCTGCGCTTCGCGCGTAATGGGGGGGGGGGGGGAGAGACAGCGAGCTGCCCGAATATGAATTTTCGATATATTTTCTCGTTTTTTTTTTTTTGGTAATAAATAACGCTTTCACAGAATACATATGCTCAAAATTTTGCTCGATCGCTTCGCTCACGAGCCGAATTGTGAAACCAGAAAATTACTTTTCGGGCATAGCCCCCCCCCCCCCTCCCCCCCCCCCCCCCCTATTGGAAAATCCTGGATCCGCGCCTGGTGTAAGGAAAAAAGATATACAGGAAAAAAGAGGGGGAGAAGGAAAGAGGGAAAGAAGGGATACCGAAAGAGGAAGGACAGAGAGCAAGCTTTGAGAGATGGAGAAAAGGGGGAGAAGACGATTTAAGCAGGTAGATATTTCCCTGCTTAAAAGGGAGAGTGTGTGTGGGTGCGCGTTGTGAGTGTGTGGGTGCGCGTTGTGAGTGTGTGAGTGAGAGAGAGAGAGAGAGAGAGAGAGAGAAAGAGATAGAAAGAGAGAGAGAGAGAGATGGTGGGGAGGGAAGAAGATAATAAAGATTTAAAGATGGGACGTTGTTGTGGAGAGATTTAGATAACAGATTCACAATTATTCAAGATAATCCAAAGTGGGAATTTGAAGGACAAACTACTGTCTTTGTTACCTCGGTTTCTGACTCTGTTATTGTCAAGAAATTTGGTCTTCTGTCTCGTCTCCCCCAACTACCCAATGTGTTTTGATATTTCTCTCTCTCTCTCTCATATTTATATTTTCTATCACTTAATGATGCGGAGACGATGGTATTTCAATCTAAGACTATATGCAACTAAGGTCAGGGACGGCTGACTGATGCGCTGACCAAATCTTTACTTCATACCTGAACTTGTTTGTTATTTCTTTTCTATAGCCTTTGTCCAATATCCAGGGGTGAAAAGGTGCTGTTCTTGTTTGGTTTTTGACTCTGTCGGGTTTTGTTTTTGCTTGTTTCTTCAGAAAATAGGCTGTCCGGTATGCGTATACAATTACCCTAATATAAGTGTACAGCATATTCCTTTTTCTCTTCCATTTGTGTAGAAATATTCCTTGACGAAGATTCAGCGGCGTCGAGAAGCCCAAGGCGAGGAGACGATAGATAACTATGACTATCTGAAGAGTTGGTTATGGTGGTCCGGGATTCTCCTCATGATCATAGGCGAAGGAGGTAACTTTCTGGCCTATGGTTTTGGTCCAGCTTCGGTGGTAGCACCACTTGGTACCACGACAGTAGTTGGTGAGTATAGAAGCGGAAAACAAACAAACAAACAGACAATCATACATACATGTTCATACAAACAAAAAAGGAAACTTCCTGGTCTATGGGTTCCGTCCTGCTTCGGTGGTAGCACCACGTGGTACCACGACAGTAGTTAGTGAGTATAGAAGCAGAACACAACAAACAAACAAACAAACAAACAAACAAACAAACAAATAGACATTCATACATACATGTGTTTGGTGATAAAGTATTTCATTCACCTGCTGTTATCCTTTATTGTCAAAACGCAAATTGCATAAATAATGTTTGTGCTCTTCTGGGGTGAACTCTTCGCAAAAATGAAATAGATTTGTCAACTGCTATAATATGCTAGTATCTTTTAAATGAGTTATAGTTACGATTGTTGTTCCCTTGTTAAATATTTTTCTACACTTATTTTTTGGGGTGATGTTTCCTTTAACAAGAGGATGTAGTATATAGTGTGACCGTATGTTGACTAGGTGATTCTTCACTCGATGTATTGCGTGTAATGGAATATTGAAGTGCTGGTAGGCTGTGGTATATACATGTAATTGCCAGGTCGGGTGATGCTAGACAACACTTCAATTATTGTGATGACAAATATACTCACTGGGGCCGCATTAATATGTATAGGGACGGGGTAGAGGGCATTAGGGACTTTTAGATTGAGTGGATGAGAACACAACGAACGCCGACTGATCATGCGTGTCAACGTACTCAACTGCCCATGTTGACTACAATTAGAAATCTTGGATTGCACTCGACAATAAACATCCATGCAGGAAGTAACACTATGAACATGACGGACAAAAGAAGTTAAAGAACATCCCTTCACTGCTGTTATGTAAAAATGTGTAGAACAGGTGAATATGTATGTGACACCTGTTCTACACTTTTTTACATAATAGCAGGGAAGGGATCGATGTCCCTTTGTCTACCTGAGGAACTTTATATTTTATGCGCACGCGGCATACTAGTACCGGACCAGATTTAGGAAAATCAAGGTTGACGCAATATCGATCGCCGACTGAAACGACGTGACACATGCGCAGTGCCTTAAGATGACGTCAAAATGCTTCCATTGGCAACATTAAATTTTGTTTACCCTTTTCCCGTCCCCTTTTTCTTTCTTGTCAAAGATTTTGGAGAGCTTTGATTATAATGTGCTCCCCGACAAACGCCCTGGCTTCGCCCTGTATACCCAATTACGGTTTCTTGTAGAAACGGTGTAACGGACTTTGTAACCAATTTATGTCTTTTATAATCCTTTGTAAAAACGAGGTTTTCACACAATGGGCTAAAAATATGGGATTTGAGCTAAATCACTTGGACTGTTGAACAGCTCTAAACTTGAATAGTCGCAAGATTGTGTGTATTAATAACGTACAGTGCTTACTGGGAGGTTAACTGTGAAATGCAGTATGAGGACATTTTGTAGTAACTGAATGTGACGGGGGAAAATGTTTGATGTAACTCTGATGTAATAGCAGAAGGATAACGAAAGGATAATCAGAGAAAGAGAGATATAGAGAGATGGAGAGAAAGAGAGAGAGAAAGAGAGAGAGAGAGAGAAAGAGAGAGAAAGGGAAGGGAGAGAGAGAGAGAGAGAGAGAGAGAGAGGAAGAAAAGAAACAGGGTGAGAGAGATAGTGAGAGAATGGACACAAAAAAAGACTAAGCATTATTTGAAAGGGAGAGTGGGATAGAAGGGAGCGGAAAAGAGGGAGCGGAAAAGAGGAAGCATGACTGAAGAGCCACATAACTGATATAAGAACATGCGATACATATATCTAAACTTTATAAAGCTACCTTCCACGACCTATACACGTGAACCTCTTATATTCATTTCTTCAGAGTCACTGATTTAATTAGTAGTGTGAAAATGCATTGACAAATCATGATGACAATAGTGTGAAATCGTTTGCCATATGAGCTAGGCAAACGCCCTTTGTCTTTTTTACCAAGTACATTTTCTGGAAAAGATCATATTAGTTTCTAGAATATTACTGGTATACAGCGTCAGGTATAATCTGCCTACATGTGTGAATGTGATTTTGGTATACCACGGCATGGTACTAATATAGTACCTTAAAGCTCGAGCACATTGCAAAATCGACTCCAATTTGACCGACTTCGACTGATTTCGACTGATTTCGACCGATTTCGGGGACTTGTTATTTTGTTCGGTCTGTAGTCGGTCTCGATAGTGTGACCGAGACATGAAGTCTACACACCATATAGAAAGTGGAACTCTGTATGAACATGATAGGAGGAGCACCATCTTGGTTTGGGCGATCTATAACCAGTATAAAGGCTTCTAGCTGTCGGTGGATTTATTATACATTGTTGAAGCCACGCATTGTGATAAACCATTCAGGCTGTTAACAAAAAAGGGGTTGGGTCCTTATTCTTGAGTGACTTTTCTTTGAAAAACATGAGTTCACTTTATACAGACTGTTGAAGGTAAAGACCAGTTTTGGAAACGCCCCCCTCTCAAAAAATGAAATAGAAGCTCTTATAACCAATCATGTGAACGAATATTGTTTTGACTAATACGTGATGATACAAATTCTGCCGGGAAACCGCCTACTAATTGATATATTTGGTAAATTATTATATCTATCCGGACTGGATAGGTATAGGGTAGTCCCATATACATAATTTCTGTGTACAGTGCTTGTAGCTTTACCAAGACTGGGCCAAATTTCTTATCATTTTGATGATTCCAGAACCTTGCAGTACACACCAATACTCATATGCTAGATGATCAACCTTTTCTGATCGATTCCACAACATTTCTTTCAAAATGCAATCGCATGACCAGAACTGGTCTTTACCTTTGATTACGAGGAATATTGTCAGTGATAAAAATTAAATCAAAGTCTCACTTTATCTAAACTTACCTTACGGTTCCTTTTATTTCTGTTTATTCTGTCTTTTTCAGTCTTGATCAAGGTGACTTTCTCCTTTACTCTCTTCAATATAATTATTGACTCCTCTTGAAACGTCCCCGCTCCGCCACGCCCCTCTCCCCTCTCTCTCTCTCTCTCTCTCTCTCTATTTTTCTCTCTCTCTCTCTCTCTCTCTCTCTCTATTCTCTCTCTCTCTCTCTCTCTCTCTATTTCTCTCTCTCTCTCTCTCTATCTCTCTCTATCTCTCTCTCTCTCTTTCTCTCTCTATTTTTTTTCTCTCTCTCTCTCTTTCTCTCTCTCTTTTTTTCTCTCTCTCTCTCTCTCTCTCTCTCTCTCATTTCAGCCTCGTATTTTGGCCACATCCGTCTACTGTTTGTGTAGTGTTTGAGGGGTAGGGAAGAACACATACTTATCACTGTTCATTAAAGTCAAACATCTCCTTTATGGCAAAAGAGATATGATTCTAATGAAAAGATGTCCTTTTAGATTTCTTTTATTCCTTTTTTTAAAATATTTTTAAAAATTTATTACACATATTTAAAAAGAAGGGTAGCCCAATCAGCAAATAAATACTGGTTTTCGTTGGGGCCCTTCATAACACAAACAAGTAAATACATTTCTACAAATTAAAATATAAATGAATATAGAAAATTACAAAATATGACCTTAAATCATTGCAAACCAGGTTATAAATAAAAGGATTTGAACATAGAAAATAACGAAATGATTAATAATGTATATAATACAAATATCTAAATGCCATATTTCAAAATTGAAGCAAACCATAAACAAAACAAAAACAACAACAACAAACAATGATAGAAAACAAGAAGAAGATGTAATAAAATATATACAAAGAGGAGAGAAAGAAGAGACCATAAATCATGTTACAACGAGGATGTCTTTTGCCATTTTGCCATTTTGCCATTTCTCGTTTAAATGATTATATATTATCTATAAATCGAAAGTGTTCGAGTAATTTATTGCAGTTTGATAGACCTGTGACTAGAAATGACTTCTGATAAGAAGTCGTACGAGCACGTGGCACTCTAATTAACATCTTATTTGTGCTCATTGTGCTTGAGTGAGAGAAGTACCTTGTTTAAAGCCCCACTGTACTACTTGTAGCTACTTGCTCCCTCTATATAGAAAACAATGCATAAGTGGTGTTATTTGAGAGCTGAGTTAATGAGATAACCACCTGTCAGTGACCAGCAGGGTGGTCTAATCCCTTCTGGCCAAATTAGTGCAGACGGTCTTTAAAGAAGGAGGTCGTGGTCTTCGTAGAAAGTGAAAATGTTTTATATATTGATAATCCTGATAGATTTGATTGTACGTTTGCGAAAACTTCAAAAAAGTATGATAATACATATTTTTGACCAGGTTTATTCACTTCATTTTCCCTTATGATCCATTCCGCCATTCTCAATTGTTTTAATAAGTACACGCACACTACACAAATCACTCTACGTTCCTTATCTATACTTATATTTGTCTTTCTTTTGATATCATATGTTACTTGTTTTGTTTTGTCCTTGAACAGCTAATGCCTACATCTCGAGATGCATGGGAGAGAGACTACGATTTCAAGATATTTTAGGTAAGATGAAAAACTATTCCCAGAAAAATGATAATAATAAAACTAACCTTACAGACACACATCAGGGGGGGGGGGGTGTTTCCCGAAGATCCTAAGTCGAACTTAAATATTATGAAGAGCCATTTGAAGACTTAAATTAAAATATATTCAAAAGCCGAAATTTAAGTATTTTAGACTTTTCATAAATTCCACATCAAGAACATGAAATCTTCTTGATGATAGAATATATGAATGATTTGAATCAACATTTTATGCCTTTTTAATAAAAAAAATGTTTTAAAAATTTCAAAAATGCTAACGGCTTTCCATAATTGTTAAGTCCAACTTAGAGGTAAGTTCAACTAAGGATCTTTGTGAAACACTCCCCTAATTCTATAATATATAATTTTGGGGGATATTATGATAGCTTTGGTTCAGATAAAACTGTCTGTAATATTCGGTGTTCTGCGGCAAGGAATATACCAGCTGCCCAGGGTCGAGAGAGGTACCGGATGAGTACATGATATCATGATAATGACTTGGACGTTGAACGTCTGAAAGAGAAAGTCCAGCCCCAAACTTTGTTAACACCATCATCCTCTCTTTAAAATTCCAAACAGAATAGTCTAATTTGTTTTTAAAGCAAAGTATAAAACACGCTTGCTTACATTATAATTTATCACCTGACGAAGTGTTGCAGCGGCGCACGAAACGTCGTGATTTTTTAGATCCCTTGTTGACCATGCATTGCGAGACAAACGAATATCACTAGCTATATTATTTTCGATAAGTTAGTATTTAGTTATAAATTCACAGGCGAAACTTGGCTGTTTTGCGCTCATTGCCTTCACTGGGGATCCATATACACCAGGCTCTCTTCGAATAGACCTGTCTACTAGCGCGACTGAAAAGCTTGCTAGGTGATTGCCCAACATAGCAACAACTAATGTATGCAATGTGATTTCCATCCATGTAAATGTCATTTTGCATATAGCAGGTAAATATCAAATAGTTGGGAGCACTCACACGAATGAAGTGTCAAACTGATGGTGTAAATACAAGTATTCTTCAATACTTCAATAATTAAAAGAAAATTAAAGGGTTCTGGAGAGAAAATAACAAAAATTGAAATACATATACAAGCATTTTATTTGGTAAACCCTCATAAAATACCTTTACCCTGATCGTTTATGAATTTGTAATATTACCCCGGACAGGCCAGGGAAGCAATCAATATGGTTGTTCCGTAAGAGCACAGATGGCAAAATAACCAACCATATTGTTTCTTTCACAAAACGGCTGTTTTCCATCACCTATAACTTCCGGACAATATCAACAGTCAATATTATGATAGCAGCAAATGAGAACCGAAATATGATACAATGATTTAAAGACTAGTGACCGTATGGACAGCCTTATAACACGTCAAAATCCTGAAAAAGTAACATGTATATTTTACTGAGCTTAAGGTTTTTTTTTTTTGTCATTCATTTTACCTTGTGAACAAAAAGATACAGACATGAGGCACTAATAGTACCCCCCCCCCTTTCCTCACTTTAAAAATCATGGATGTAATGAAATGAAGCTCAAATCGGAGGTCGCTTTTTTTTTCTTCTTTTGGTTATTTATTTCCGACATGATGGGTGGATGCGCCCTTTAAACAAAAGTTGGTTTTCAAAGGGGTCCTATCAAGAAAAGTACTGCATACATGTATGTATTTAGCTTGTAGTCATGGTAACATTTTCAAAAAGTGTGGGAGGATATATAATAAAACTCCCGCCAAACACATTCCTCACGCATTCAAACGTACAATGATCTTTTCATTTGAATCATTTGAAGAAGCGTTTAACGGAGGAATAAACCGTGACAATGTCAACAAACTCCACACATAATTTAAATTCGACAAAAAGTATTACAACCATGCATGTACGAAAGTAATCTTTCCTTGGGGTGAAAGAAAATCGTGATTGTGTTGCGACAATACGAGGAAATGTTTCCATGATATAACATGCATTATGTTTCTTTGATATTTTTAGTCATTTCCTTTGTAATAGATCGAGTTACATGTAAGTAACGTGTGATTAATGTACAGATTTGACAAAATTGGAGCTTGTATGATAATCCGTTTAATCCGTTAGTCATGGATTCGCCCGTTGTGTAATCAGATACGAACTTGCTATTAATGTAGTGTGATACAGCGGGGCTTTTCATACGTTTTAATAATATATTTGTGAATGTTTGCCAGAGGATCTATGAACACTTTACACCCCAGCCCCTGAACAGAAACAAGATTTGTTTAAAGCCCCACTGTCCTACTTGTAGCTACTTGCTCCCTCTATATAGAAAACTTCCCCAATCGGTGCCTGTTGGTCCCCCATGATCCTCTTTTTCTTATGTTAGTTGAGAGCTGAGTTAATGAGATAGCCACCTGTCAGTGACCTCGCCGTGTGGTCTAATCCCTCCTAGCCACACTAGTGTTGATAAGCTTTAAAGGCCTCTCAAAACAAACTCATGTGTTTGTTTTATCTATAAGAACTTCATTCAGAAAGAAAAAAAAAGATCTTGATTCAGCAGAGTAGTTCTGTCACTCAATAATAGTGTTCCCTACAAAATAATCTATATCACCAGGCTGCAAAATGGATGCATGTCATTTCACGATGGTTATTACTCGTTTGATTGGCATTTTACAAGTGTCTAAATGTACACATTTAACAGACATTCACAAGCTTGAGTCTCAACATGTGCCGGTATGTTATTTAATACAACATGATGGTATCCAATTGTAACCAAATACATGTTGATTGTAATCTCGCCGTTGACATGGTTTCTAGTATATTCCATATGTCTTGATGAAAGATTTTAAGGCATGCGAGCGATTCCATGTATCATGATAAAAAGAAACACTAGTCAATAGTCTTATTTTATATTTAGTTTTATATGTGTTTTTCTTGGGGGGGAGGGGTGGCTGAAGGTAAAATATTAGATGATTATAAATAGTGTGTACGGGATACCCATCATGGAATCGCCCGTTAGCCTAGAGAAGGTAAAGAAAGAACATATATAATTATCACAAGTATGATAATCCAAAGCTTTTTATTAAATACATTTACCTTAGGAATGTAATGAGAAACAATTAAACTTTCTCATAAATGAAGTAAGTGTAGGGGGAGCTTTGATATCAGAAAGAATAGTTTGCCAAAATTAAGGGCCATATACATTAAGCAATTGTCTAGATATTTCATATTAACAATGGAAGAGGACAAATAATCTAACATATTCCAACAAAATATTACTGTGCTGATATCTGAACATCCACGGGGGAGAGAAAAGAACTAACAAAGGAGATTATTAATGGATGCCGTTTGAAACCGAATTAAAGCCTGGTTTAGATTCCTAAGTAAAGCTATTGATTTATTTCAGTCTGTTTGCTTACATGGTGTGGCCAGAGATATATTTCGAAAATATTGTTTCAAATGCGAACGTGCGGTTAGTATTACTGATTGCATATAATACTGAAAGCCGAACTTTCGAATGTAAATATTCGGAGGGAATAATGAAGCATCAGCTACAGATGTGTGTTATCATTTTGTGCAAATATTTACTGATGGTAATTAGATTAGTATACTTTGAATGGATAAATACTACAGGTATTACTAGGAATTTATTAGAAATTAATGTTGAAGTGTACTGATGTTGAGTCCGTGTAACATTTTTATTTCAATTTGTTAATGTGTCCATGTGTATCTGTGTATATATCTCAATCGCGCTTTGCATATACGCAGAGAGTAACATGTTGTATAAGGCACATTATATACATAATTTATGGGTTTCATTCATTCAATATAAAAATGAATATTTCTAACATTATTACGTCTTCATTTCTTTTTTACCAGGAACCATCATTATTGTCGTTGGAGCATGTATGATTCTCATATTTTCAACACAGGTAAAGCGACTTTTTAAAAACTTTTTATTTAAATCTAAATACATGTACATGTACAATGCAAAAGTTGAATGCAGTTTTAGGGGGTAAATTTGCTTTCATAATGTTATAGGGACCGTGCCAGTGCTCCGTTGCATAAAACTTACCATTGATGGTAAGTTTGCCATCAATGGCAATTACCACGGTAACAGGGCTCAACAGCCAATCAAAATCAAGTTTTCCACGGATAGTTACCATTGATAGCAAAGTTACCATCAATGGTAAGTTTTGTGCAAAGGGGCCAGATGTACATGAAGGCACACAAGTGCCAACAAGGAACATAAAAAGTGATACTGCTATCCTTTTTATCATATTTTTTAATATTTTGTTACAAATCTGTGCTCTTTAATACAAATAATGTATTATTTTTTCAAATCAGGAGAAACAAATCCATTTTAATAAAGCAATGCATTTACAATCGAAATTTGTTGCTTATTTGTATACAAGCTATACACATAAAACGATCAACCATATGCCAGCTTGCTGTAACCTGTACCTGTATAAATGCAACATAATTTGCATAATGATGAAATGGGAAGATATGTCAGTGCTTCACTGCATGCCTTTTTTCTACACTAGTATATGAGAAGACATAGCTTCATAAAATGTGGAACAGTAAAACTTAAAGGCCCACTGCACTACTTGTAGCTAATTGCGCCCTCTATATAACAAACAATGCCTAATCGGTGACCATTGGTCCCCCATGATCCTCTTTTTCTTATGTTAACTGAGAGCTGAGGTGATGAGATATCCACCTGCCCAGTGACCTTGCAGGGCAGTCAAATTCCTCCTGCAAACTACGGCAGATAAGCTTTAATGAAACAACACGCTTAATTATGTCGGCTACAAATTACATTTTGGTGTGTCCCTCCATATCAGTGTTATTCAGCTGCCAAACGAAAGTTTTAAAAAATGTAACAAATAGAATGAAATTTATCTGTTTCCATGGTAACCCATGTGATGTGTTTAGAATATCTGTTCATTCATTGTTTTCCAACACTGAATAATACCTGTCTTTTTTCCGCTTTTTGCATCCCTACTATAGAACGAAGAGCAAATGAATTCACATATGATATTATTTAAGCTAAGTTCATGGCCCTTCCTGGTGTTTTTCGTGAGTATAAATATCATTCATTTATTTATGTTAAAATCTAAGTATCATGGTTCAGTTTTATGTCAGTCCTATAGGAGTCATAGGAGTAATACAAAAATTGGTAGCAGTAGAGCAGTATAAATAGGATAAGTAAGAGTAGTAGGGTAGATCGTTATCATACTTAACGTTTATCAATTATTAGTGTTTTTAAAACTATTATTATGTTATTTTTTTAATTAAGAAGAAAATAAAAGTATTATTATCAATGTTATTGTTATCATAATTATGATCATTTATTATGATTATTCATATCATTATTATTTAAGTATCTATTCGTTAGTAGTAGTAGTAGTAGTAGTAGTAGTAGTAGTAGTAATAGTAGTAGTAGTAGTAGTAGTAGTAGTAGTAGTAGTAGTAGTAGTAGTAGCAGTAGTAGTCGTAGTAGTAGTAGTAGTAGTAGTAGTAGTAGTAGAAGTAGTAGTAGTAGTAGTAGTATAAGTAGTAGTATAAGTAGTAGTCGTGTCTTGTTACTATATTGTAAATGTTATTTGTTATCATTGCTTTCATTATTATCAGTACCGCTATTATAATCATTATATCATTATTATCTTCTCTTTAATACAGGGAATTGAGGTTGTGCTGTTCCTTGTTTTACTCTTCTTAAAGCTCGTCAAGGGTTACAAACATCTTATCTTATTGCTTCTACCAGCCGCAATATTAAGTAAGCTCCATGAAAGATCAGACTTGAATTTAAACTTTATTTTGCCCTACTTGATTGATTGATTGATTGATTTTATTTATTCATTTCATATAACAATTGTTTGCATGGAATTAATTGTTGATCATGATAATACAGATTTAGTCAAATAACAAGTTCTTATTTTCAAAATTATTATTGATTATCATTACGATTATTGCAAAGTAAAAACACTGCATGATTTTACAAATATACGTAAAAGATCATAATATCTAAAATTCTATCTTTGTTACATTCCTTATATAAATGTGTAAGTTAGCTAGGTCGTCTTTTTTATTGTACTTTTGTCTTTAATAAAGTTCCTTCTCTTTCATTTAATTTTGACAGGTTCACTGACTGTTCTGGGTGCAAAAGCATGTTCTAGTCTTATAAAATTGGCGGTCAAAGGTCAAATGTCAGAGGTCAAATCTCCAATATTTTTCGTCATGCTCATCGTAGTTTTTGTGACAGGAGCGGTACAAATAAGGTCAGTGTAATTTTAATCCTTTTTGTGACAATAAAATTAGGTCTTAAATTGTTACGATCCATTTGTCAATTACCTTTTATTCACAGGTGTTGTATGCAGGATAGTTTATGCCACAGGCATTGTACGGAGATTCCTTGTCATTATTTGTTTCATTTTCATGCTAATGTTGTGATACTTAATGTTGTGAGAGTAATGCAATGCATATTAATGCTCCTATGCACTAGTTTGGCCAGGAGGGATTAGACCTCCCTGCATGGTCACTGACAGGTGGTTATCTCATCAAATCAGCTCTCAATTAACATAAGAAAAAGGGCACCATGGGGGACCAATTGTCACCGATTCTGCATTGCTTGCTATATAGAGGGCGCAAGTTGCTATAAGTAGTGCAGTGGGGCTTTAAGGAAGACGGTAGAGAAATTGATTTCGAGCTGCCTGCAGACAGGATGAGATGTAGAGCGGTAACAAGGGACCACACCCCCCCCCCCCCATAGAGGGCCTTAACTACTGTTACAGTACTACAGTTACCCTGTAGTATAACTAAACGAACTAAATTTTAAATAGCAAGCAAAACAACTAAGTACAAAATAAATGGTGAAGAAAGCGGATTTTATTTTTGTTTTATATCTCGTTGTTCCTTCAGATACGTCACGAGAGCGATGCAAGAACACGACGCTTCTGTAATTGTTCCTGTTTACTTTGTCTTCTTTACTATCGGTGCAATATTAGTGGGTGAGTTGATCCTCCTCCTGGGGGTGTTTCACAAAAACTAAGATCAACTTAAAGTTGGACTTAACTATGGCAGGCCATTCATGCCACTGGTCGCTCTCACAATTTGTCTCTCAGTTATGATTTTTAGATATTTAGTGTCCTTCAATAATGACCTATAAAAAAAATGTAAATTCTGTAGATTTGTGACCATGATTTGTACTCCCCTTGAGAAACCAATGCTATGTTTGGTTAGAGGAACTAGTGGCATGAACAGCTTGCCATAGTTAAGTCCAACTTAAAGTCGATCTTAGTCTTTCCCAGAACCAGGATTACATTGAGTATTACTGCACCCAAGATGACCCGGAAGCCGTGAACTGCCGTGTGGAGCACTGGGCGGGACTTGTGTAGTGAATCGATAAGAAGAAGAATACTGCGTTCAGAGGTGGCGCGAAATCATTTTTGGAAATTTGTGGGAGGGGGGGGGGGGAGATATGCCAATTATGGCCCCAGGAAAGTCAAATATATCAATAAGTAATGATGAAATAGAGATTCATATAATTTGTAACTTTGCCGTCAAGAATTCCGCTTCTTGTCTTCCAGCTTTTCTTATAATTCCTTTATTATGAAGCGTTTGGTTTATGTTTCTGCGACAATCCGTTTTCTCTCTTCTAATAAGGATTACCAGAACTCGGAGCTACATTGAACTTAAAAAATGTTCATTTTTTGTTTTGTTTTAATTGATCTTTTTTTGTTCATTTTTAACCATATTCAGGTGTGTTTTTCTATGGTGAATTCATTGGACTTACAATTATTAGGATTTTCATGTTTATATTTGGGTAAGTATGTCAGGGAGTGGAACTGGGGCATAGTGCCTCTCAAGTTGTTCAACTTAAAATGTTTCCTTTCATGAAATTCATTTTTTTTCTTTAAAAGTGAAACTGAGATAGAATGAGATGTTTTGAATGCCTTATTAGATTCAATATCTTTAAAATGCACTATACGTTCCAAGCTCCTTGATGGAATCTCTAGAACATCATAATATTGAGTTAATTTACAATTGATTTCTAGTATTCATATGTATGCGTTAAACGAATCATTAGTTATTAAGTACAATTCATTAATTATTTTCAGCACAGTTGTGTGTTTTGTCGTTCCCAGTTTTTCGTCTGCAATGGCATCAAGAGTTTAGATACCAATCCGAAATCTCCCATGATTATTGTTTTCTTCTGACTGTATTTTTTTTCTGACTGTATATTTTTCGTTCCTATGTGTTCATTCAACATGCAGTGAATAGTTTTCAGATAAAACAATCCTTATTCTCTCATGGTCTTGTTTTGTTGTATATGCATTTGTTTGTTCATAATTGTGTTCACTCTTACTTCAGTCCATAGTTTTCAAATGAAATTCCTAACTCTCGTGTATCGTTGTCTTCGTCGTAGCTGTATAATGTTAATAATCCATTTATAACTAAATCAATAGTTTAAATATATAATAGCGTTCTTATTGTTTTCTTTGTAGGTGTATCTTTTCTTTCACAATTAATTCCTGTATCATTTCTTTCTTCGTAGCTATATTTACCCATTCATATTGCAATCAGACTTAATTCTTGAATCAATATTTTCTTTGCAGGTGTATTTGTTCGTTTATAGGTGTGTACATGATCACTCATGGGAGACTGATGTCTCATCATGATAATGATGATAATAAGGATGATGTACAAATGGAAGCTAGGGACGATACAGACGATTGTAAGTCTATCAAGAATATTACTTTGATTAAAAAAAAAAAAAAATCAATTTCCAAATTTGTAATCAACTACCTTTATTAGCATTGTCAATTATATAATATGGATATTTATATAGCGCCGGTATCCGCCAGGCTCTGACGCTCATGGCGCTGTACATATTACTATCACAAAAATATGACTTTCTTAACTAAAATAAAGTAAACTAAAACAACACAAATTATTACGCTACATTGATATGATTAAATAGCACTGTTTAGAAAGAGAAGTATGTTGTTCCTGTGTTCATATGTTGAAGCAAGATTGTTGATGTAAATATAAACAATTATCCTATATGGACACAATAAAAAAAATGAAATGAAATATGATAGTATTAATGTGCGACCAAACATATTAATGTGTTTTTGCACATGATATATTGAGAACATCATGAGTATATCCCAGTAGATCGTCGAGAGCCTAACATAACTATCATGTCGATATGTTGGACTCGGGGAAACCTCAGACAAAGGGATACAAGTCCTGCGAGACCGTGACAGAGAAAATTATGTCTGTGATGATTGTCTAAAAACGAAACGCCCTTTTCTAATAACTTTATAGACTCATAGTACTCTGCCTACACATTACCTTCCTAGTCGCGCACCACACTCAAGATCAACGTCTCGAAGTGGGCGGGGTAAGGGTGTCAGTTTGCCACCTTAGTTCCATGTACTTACATTTTAGTGTATCCTACTAATCGTTGTTTTAGTTTAAGTTCAATTTCGGTAAGGATTACTTGAAAGAGAACTGGGCTAACTTGTATTCCTTTGCACTGATTTCAAATCAAGATTTTATTTCCAACATATTGTCTTTCTGTTTTTGCTTTTCAGCACCCTTACTACCCCTTCCCACCAGTCTCCACCTCGTTCAGCCCCCCAGGGAGGATGGGGATGATAGTAGTAGTATGATGTCATCAGATAGTGGTGATGGAAGATTCGTTGAAATGCAAGATATGTCTGCCACTTTGAGAGATAGCCCGAAATGGATGGTGAGTTTATCGGCGCGGGGGGGGGGGGGGGGGGGGGGTGCGAATTTTTTTTCCGTACTCGAGAGGGCAAATACCCCATGTGCGCATGCGCGTGGACTTGTGATTTCTCTGCTACTTCCCATACGAAATGTACATGTATTCGCATGTGTGCACGATTCGCGTTCTACTTGTAAACGATGGCATAGTAGTCTTCAAACACAGACTCTGATTTGCCAGTTTGACAAAACAATTACGCATATATCGTGCGTAGCAATAGTACTAGTATTCAAGTCTGAGTAGTTGTATGATTCAGACATTTTAGTGCTTACAGAAATGCATCCCAAATTGAATAGCATGGTATAGTAGTCTGCAAGCACAGACGCTAATCGGACAGTTTGACAACATGTTCAGAGCCAGAAGGGCATTCGTTGTGTTAAGAGTTAACATCCTTCTGGCTCTCAGCAGACCATGATTATAAATAAAAGTAATACAGAGAGTGCGAGCATACTGGAGGGAGGGCTAGAGAGAGAGAGAGAGAGAAAGAGAGAGAGATATGGAGAGAGAGAGAGAGAGAGAGAGAGAGAGAGAGAAAGAGTGTGAGAGAGCAGTGGCACAATACATAGGCCTACCATGGGGTCTGGAATCATTAAACTACACAAACTTGCATAAAATCACTACTCATCAATACACAATATATTATTATGTCCTTGCAGACTACTATACTACACTCTACACATTGAGATGCATTTCTAACGCACGCACCAGTAGGGTCTGAATCATACATCTACACAGACTTGAATAAAGTACTTCTCAGCACACTACTAGTATGTTGTCAAACTGTCAGATTAGCGTCTGTGCTTGCAGACTACTATACCATTCTATACAAGTTGGCGACTTGAATAAAGTACTTCTCAGCACACTACTAGTATGTTGTCAAACTGTCAGATTAGCGTCTGTGCTTGCAGACTACTATACCATTCTATACAAGTTGCAATGTATTTCCATATGCACTACTGGGTCTGAATCATACAACTACACAGACTTGAATAAGCACATCGCGACACATACGCATATTGATTTGTCAAACTGTCAAATCAGAGTCTGCGTTTGAAGACTACTATGCCTTCGCGTACTCGTAGTGTGTACATGTACATTTGTATGGGAAGTAGCAGAGAAATCATAAGTCCACGCGCATGCGCACATGGGATTTTTGCTCTCTCGAGTACGGAAAAAAAAATTCGCGGGGGGGGGGTGGGGGGTAAGCGTACACTTTTTTTTTGTTTAGAGTCCCCCAAAATCGCAACGACTCAGCCAGCAGCTGAAGGGGGGAAAGGGGGGGGGGGGGGGGGTGTTAAGAGAACAATTTTATTTTTTTTAGGTCTCGAAATTTCAAAATTTGACATTTTGTTCCCGTTAGGGGGGGGGGGGGGGGGTAAGGTCACCTTTTTAGGTCAGCCATTAGCATAATTTTTTTTTAATTAAAAAAAAAAAAAAATCAAAAGGGGGGGGGGGGTTCAAAACATACATAAAAAAAAACTCAAGGGGGGGGGGGGTTAATCTCTGCATCTCAGATTTTCAAACCATGACGTCATGTCAACTCTTGTCATGTTGTACATGACTCGACGTTACGTATTTTTCGTCGGCGGTGTGCAAGAAGGCCATAGAGCTATTGTACCTCTTGTGGAGTTTTGAATTTTCATAAAAGCTTGTTGGTGTTATCATTTATATCTGTTTTTTCGCTTTGCTTCCTCTTTTCAGCAAATGGACAGTGCTATCATTCACGCCCAGCTTGGTAACCATGGTGACGATGGTCTCAATCTTCGCAAGCCTCACAGAACACAGAATGGCGAAACGAATCATAACACTGTAGATTATCATTAGCAATTGTATTTAATTCTTACTATTAGACCTTAAAGATAAAGACCAGTTCTGGTCATGCGATTGCATTGTGAAAGAAACGTTGTGGAATCGATCAGAAAAGGTTGATCATCTAGCATAGATGTACTGCAAGGTTCTGGAATCATCAGAATGATAAGAAATTTTGCCCAGTCTTCGTAAAGTTACAAGCACTGTACACAAAAAGATGTTTATGGGACTATATGCACACATGCGCGACACGTGCGTCTATCTCTCACACACCAATAGGTATACCAATTTACCAAATATATCAATTAGGAGGCGATTTCCCGGCGAAATTGTTATCATCATGTTTTAGTCAAAACATATTCTTTCACATGATTGGTATTAAGAGCTCCATTTCATTTGTTGAAATTGGGGCGTTTCCAATACTGGTCTTTACCTTTAAAGTTTGCATCACTTTCTGTTTGTTGCAAACAAGGTATATATAATGATTTAATGCCTTTAGACAATCTTTTATGAGGGAGAACTGGGACTCAACGGAAAATCTTGGTCGTATTATCCAAAAGAGATAAATCGGTCGCAAATACTTGCGCGAACTTTTTAATGAACTTACCACTTATTAGAACCCTAAATAGGGTGTGTTAACTCTTTTCTTTAGATTACTGGTCAGAAGAATATGGTCGAATTTATACTTCTCCTTGCCCCTCCCCCTGAACAAATAATTATAACAATAAGGGCTAGATTCTTAGTTTTTAATAAAACACATTTCATTTTTTAATATATATGCTGACGAAACAAAGAAAAGACTCTGTTTCGTCATCTTTTCTAACAGACTATTCATTTTTTACTCTGAACTGTGCGTTCTTAGCAACTGTTGCGCCCCTTTCAAAAAACAAGTTTTGAAGAACGTTGGTTTTAAATAAATTTGTCATTACTTGACAAAGACTCAAACCCGAAAGTTCGTATATTTTATATCTCCTACGCCGGTTGTTTCATTATTTCTTCTTCACTCGTCTATTTTACGTCAACCGCTGCAGGACTCTATATATATATATATTAGATATCACAGGTATAATAGGTATTATGTCTTGTACATTTCACCGGGTATCGTTTTTGGTTCACTGCAGGATTTTAAAAATATTCTTATTTTGTTTTAGTGGATTCGCAGAGGAATGATTTCTTTTAACTAAAAGGGTTTTTATAAAAGAAAAGTAATTCACGGTTTGTATTTTAGGTCACTCTAATGTTTTATTTACTGGTGAAGAAGGAATAACTCTAAATCTTGAAATGATCGTAACTTATGTGTTCATTGTCATGACACTCCAACAATATTGAGTCAACATTCAATGCTGCCTGGTTATTTCCCTTAATATCGCTATTGCAGCATTTTATTTACGTGTCTCCCGTCTTTCTTTTATGTGTTTTTGTGACGTTTTAAATTGTATTTTAAAGTTTTCTTATTACCAATGATTACAAGCGGAGCAATATTTTTGTTTAATTGCGACTATATACATTATGCATGCAGTAGGCCTTGATGTGGTTTACCTGGCCCTATTTCGAAATGTAGAGATATTTTTCAATCATTAAATGATTTGACATCCGATTTTAAAACTTATGTATATTATTTTGAAAATGAAACATGCTGCTTCTATTATGGTGCTAACTATAGAAATACAATTTCTTCTACGGTGATATAATTATAACAGAGTATTACATTGCCTTCGTTACCTATTGTAGGCGGAATAAAAAGAAAGACATGATTACTCAATAAAGTGTTATATTTGCTATAATAATACATAAGTCGCTCCGCCACCAGAGATAAAATGGATCGAACAAAAACATTTACACTAAATACACCTTTGGACCAAGATTTTGTTCAATTATTGATAATTTTGAAATCGGTTTGGCAATGTGATTTAGTCATTGTTAAATTGCTCATGACGCCAAATATATCTAACTTGGATGATATAACATTATCATATGGATTTTGATATAAAAGTTGGCCTCGTTCAGAGTTTATTGTGAAAATAAAATAATCATATTCCAGAATCATCTGATTTTGTTTGTGTTTGTTTTGTATAAAAAGTGTCGTATTTTAAAGAGTACAATTAGCCTCAAAATGCCCCTCCCCCTCCCCACCAAATAAAAATCATCGACATGTAGGTAAGTCGCATTGAAATTACTAAGCTTTTATTGGTCATCAAAACAATTAAATATATACTGCTCAGCCACAACGTAACCTTACACACTTTTTAATTATCATACATTATGACGTCATTGAATGTAGACTTTCAAAAAACCAACTCAAAGGAAATTTCTATATCCTATTGTATTTCCCATTGAAATTATGTTTGCATTTCGCAATAATGTTATGGTAGTATTCGCATATGTCAAAAGTTATACCTAAAAGGCTACTTTAAAATCCTTAAATAGATTTTTTCGAAAAGTAGCTGCGGTCATCATGGCAATGCAGGGGGTGTTTCACAAAGATCCTAAGTTGAACTTTTCTCTAAGTTGGAGTTATTATGGAAAGCCATTAGCATCCTTGAAAATATTTTGTAAAAGTCATTTTAAAAGGCATCAAATGTTGATTCAAATCATTCATATTTTCTATTATCATGGGAAATTTTATGTTCTTGATGTGGAATTTATGAAAAGTCTAAAATAATGATTTTTTGCTTTTGGATGTATTTCATTATAAGGCTACAAATGGCTCTCCATAATATTTAAGTCCAACTTAAGTTCAACTTCGAATCTTTGTGAAACACCCCAAGGAATATAAACCCACCGCACACTATCCGATCTGACTACGATACGACTTTGGAAGAAATTTGCAGAAGCATTTGATATTGACATTCAGACTAAACAAAAAATCTTAATGATCGATGATTAGTAGAATCATATGATTAATAAAACTAAAATGTCAATTGATTCCAAGCTTCCTTGGAGGAGGAATAGCTAAATCAGCTGTACGATATCGTATAGTGACGTCATACGATGTTTACGATTGAAAGCCGATTCGGCTGTTATCTGACCAGAAGGCTTAAAGCCCGGCACCCCCCCCCCCCCCACTCAGGTTTCAAAATGACCGCATGCGTGTTGCCAAAATGTCCTTTTCGTAACAAAAGAAAAAGGTCGAGCCGTATTGACTTTACACACCGGACTTTTGCTGAAAAGGGGGGGGGGGGGGTGCGGAAAAAGGCTCGTATACAAAAGAAAAAGGTCGAGCCGTATTGACTTTACACACCGGACTTTTGCTGAAAAGGGGGGGGGGGGTCGGTTGGAACACGCATATGCGTACCCTAAATAACACTGAGTGGGGGGGGGGGGCCGGGGCTTAAAGATAGTCATGTGATTACATTGTGAAAGAAACGTTGTGGAATCGATCAGAAAAGGTTGATCATCTAGCATATAAGTATTGTGTGTACTGCAAGGTTCTGTAATCATCAAAATGATAAGAAATTTGGCCCAGTCTTCGTAAAGTTACAAGCACTGTACACAGAAAGATGTTTATGGGACTACGCGACACGTGCGCGATATCTATCAGGTCCAAAAGATATAATAGTTTACCAAATTTATCAATTATTAGGCGGTTTCTCGGCAAAATTTTATCATCACGTACTTGTCAAAACATATTCTTTCACATGATTGGTCATAAGAGCTTCCATTTCATCTTGGGGGGGGGGGGGGCGTTTCCAAAACTGTTCTTTACCTTATTACCTTTAAATGCACTAAAATACTGCTATTAGTATTCTTTTCATTATTTAGAACCTACATCAGGAAGATGATGTTTGTTCAGATTCCATATCTAATATAATAGCCATATCTTCAGAAATCAGATCCGCCGGAAGATCGAATAGTTTGCGTTGGGCTCTAATGTATTTATTTACAAAGAAATGAACAATAAAAACAGAAAAGTTGACATTTATGTGGAAGTAGAATATAATCTGTAGCAAAAAAAATCTTCCAACACATGAGTCTATACATGATAGATGACCTTTATGTTAAGACGGAAACTTTAAATCACAATTTGCTTTGGAAACTCTATTCATTCGTAATTCTCTTTTTTCCGGTCACCCATTGTCAAACAAAAAAAGTACTTGTTTATTGAAATAATGATCGAGGTGTGATTCTAATTTGTAATATATATTCATCAACATAAAAAAAGACAAAGGCTTAAAGAAGACGTTGGAAAAGCAAAGTGGACACTTAGTATTTTGTCAACAGTGAATTTTACATAATAAAGGCTAATATATTTCGAGTTAAAATAACATTAGGATACTCATATACGTTACCCCCGTATTAAAATACACTATTCTCTTAACCAGTTGACTGCTGAATTCTCTCATTCCCATTGACTTAACAAAGGGAACCACCCGGTACCAGTAGGCAAAGGGTTAAGATGTCAAAGTATAAGGGAGTTTACAGATACAATCTGCGCATGGGCAGATAAAGGTCATTTGTACCAAAAAGGTAAAACCCACAGAGATGAATACTGGATATGCGCTCATGAAAGTTATGTAACATTATTAATTTATGCACCAACGGTACATTCTAAGATACGTAGGAGGAAGTATTCTTTTCAAGAGGGCAAACAAGAGGTATTCATGAAGCACATCTAGGACTTTGGCAGTATTATTCTAATATGCTCAAAGTGGAACTTCTCCATGTGTAACAGATCTGTGGATATTTGGGGTCATTTGTACCATGTGCTATCTGTAAACTCCCTTATTCTGCGACGCTACGGATATCAAAAGACGTTATTTTTAAGTCATGCTCTTCGAAGAACACGATCCCAAATACTTTCGAGAAATAAACTCAGGGCAATTTTAAAGCCCACCTGTACTCGTTTGGCCAGGAGGGATTAGATCACCCAGCACTGACAGGTGGCTATATCATCAACTGAGCGCTCAAATTTACATAAGAAAAAGAGGATCATGGGGGACCAACGGGCACCGCTTTGGCATTGTTTTCTATATAGAGGCACAAGTAGCTACAAGTAGTACAGTGGCTTTAATACCTTACTGTGTATCCTACAGAAATCATGATCGGAGTACGTAATACGTCACTGTTGGAATTGCTTTAAGCTGATTTCTCGAAAGTGTTTTCGATCGTGTTTATGATAAAGAACAAAAAGTATATAATAATAATGTTAATAAATAGATCAATGTCATAGGACATTGGCCATGTGGCAGGGATTCGAACCCCCTATACCTTGTGATCCACGGTCCGGTAGCATATTCACTAGACCACAGTACCTCTAAGGCCATTACAAAGTATATACATTTTTAGCGTCCCGCCCGCTTCCTTTTTGGGGGCCGTCTCCTTTTATTTTTTTAATTATTTTTTTTAATGGTTTAAAATCTTTTGTTGTTTTTGTGTTTTTGTTTGTTGAAAAACACTGCTAAATGATCTATTTCAGATTTTTTTTTTTTAAATTGCCGGCGGCCATCTTGAAAAATAGCCCGACTGTCAAGGAGAATGTACCGAGTGGCCATTATGAAGAAAAACAAGAAGGAAAAAAAAAAAGGGCCTCCTCCTTTCTATTTTTCAAAAAGGCAGGACGCTAAACATGTTTTTTTTTTTTTTTTGGCCTAATAACCTCTGTTATTTCATTTCTACCACCCTTCATTCCTCATGAGCGTAAATCTTGCGAGGCTGTAAGCGAACTTCATGTTGTTTGGGCGTAATATCAATCCCTTGTCGAACCCCTCATCGAACGACTCAGGACGATCACCGGGAGCGAAATCGATGTGGAATCTCTGCATGATCTTTGCGAAGATCAGAAAGAGCTCGTTCTTGGCCAACTGATCACCAAGACATTTCCGGGGACCTGTGTATTATGGAAATATATTGTAGAATATAATGTGAATAAATTGAGTTGATGATATTACAAATAATGTTGTTTTGAAGGTACTATATGCCCCATTTGCAGGCCAAAAAAAAATGAAAAATTTAAATTCCAACTGCATTTGAAAGATAATACTTATTTAGAACTTCCCTAAAAAAAGGGGGGCTTGAAAATGTCTTCAAGTGGGAAAATAACGACTATTAGTTGTCAAATCGACTTTAGGGCTATAGAGCCCTAAAGTAATAATCTTGATTTTCAGACATTATTGTTCTGAATGGTCATACGTTTTATGCTGCGCAAAGATTCAATCAGTTTAATCTTGGCCATTACAAGAAGTGGGTTATTGATGTAGACAAATGCTCATGTACCCTTACAACTCTTTTTATGTATTTTATTACCAAAGAAGAAAAGGCCATGCAGTCAGTCACTAAATAGTGTCTGACAGTGAAGTGAACGGGTCCTTGCATAATTTGAATATGAGGACACTGCTAACGTTTAAATGTCACAGATAGGACATACATGACATATTCATAATTCCTGCAAAGTTCTACAGAATTTGAGGTTGGCTGCAAAAGGGACATAGTACCTTTAAGAAAAAGACTGGATGACCTATTACGCTGTATTAAAAGCACTGAAAACAATTGTACGTTGTTTTTGTTCACAAAATAAAA